AGCAAGGAGGGGAACCCCAAGGGACAAAGACCAGGACCCCAAGGACCAAGTAGGGGAGCCCCAAGTACCACCGGCACCTGGACACAACAGCCAACATTGATCGACCCCACAGGACCAGATAGAATTATGTAACCCCACCCAAGTCACAAGTGACATAGAGACCCCACTGCACAAGCATTATTTGTACCCCGAAGTACCACAGTATCTTACCCCCAACAGGAGCGACCCCAAGGCAAAGAGGAGGGGAACCCCAAGGACCCACAGGCCCCGGATCCCGACAGTCCAACAGGGGATCGACCCTCATACAGAGTGATCAATTAGGTTTGTAACCAACCCAATTGCACAATACATATCTACCCCAATTCACATCATTATTTTACAACGATTACCAATTCCTCTTCCCCCAACATTATATACCACCAATCACAAACTAATTATTTTTACTCCGATTACCAACATTACTCTACAACAACTTTAGATACCCCCACATTCACAATCAGTTTTACCCCAATTACCCCACATTCCCCGTACCCCAACATTATCTACCCATCACCACAGATCATTATTTTAACCCCGATTGACCACATTCCCTTACCCAATACACACATTATTTCTACCCAAGTCACAAAACATTTACCCATACCCAAATTACCCCAAACATCCACATAGTCTACCCCACGACCATATTACCCACTATTGTTACCCACATTACGCCAACCATTAAGTCTACCCCAATTCACAATCATCATTTTTACCCCGAACCACATTACTCTTACCTCAGCATATGCGACCCCAAGTCACAATCATTATTTTTACCCCGATTACCAACATTCCTCTGACCCAATACAAACATAATTCACCCCAATTCCACAATCATGACTATTACCCCAACATGATCTACCCCATTCGCATCAGTACATCCCAATTACCAGTCCTAATATCCCAATTCACAAGCATTAGTGTACCCGCAATTACACACATTCCCCTTACCCACATTATTCTACCCCAATCACAATCATAGTTGTTACCCCGATGACAACAGTACTCATTTACCCCAATTTACAAAACAGTTATGCGGACCCTCAAGTACAAGGTCCTCTTACAGATTCGTGACCCAATTCACATCAGGTGGAACCCAATTACCACCATTCCCGTACCCCAACATTATCTACCCCAATTCACAATCATTATTTTTACCCGATTACAACATTCCTCTTACCCCAACATTATCTACCCCAATTCACAATCATTATTTTTACCCCGATTACCACATTCCTCTGACCCCAACATTATCTACCCCAATTAACAATCATTATTTTACCCGATTTTTTTGTAGGCACATGAGCAGAAGGAGAGACGACCCCCAAACTATCCTTAATGCTTTGACTAAAGATGGAGTGTGGAATGATAATGTCTTCTATCTCACTGCACCTATCCCTATCTCACCCAAATTTCGCTGTTCTCCCTATACAAGGGTAGGTGTCAACGATTTCACATTTTTTGTAGGCACATGAGCAGAAGGAGAGACGACCCCAACTATCGTTAATGCTTTGACTAAAGTTGGAGTGTGGAATGGTAATGTCTTCTATCTCACTGCACCTATCCCTATCTCACCCAAATTTCGCTGTTCTCCCTATACAAGGGTAGTGTCAACGATTTCACATTTTTTGTAGGCACATGAGCAGAAGGAGAGACGACCCCAACTATCGTTAATGCTTTGACTAAAGTTGGAGTGTGGAATGGTAATGTCTTCTATCTCACTGCACCTATCCCTATCTCACCCAAATTTCGCTGTTCCCCTATACAAGGGTGTCAACGATTTCACATTTTTGTAGGGACATGAGCAGAAGGAGAGACGACCCAACTATCCTTAAGGCGTTGACTAAAGATGGAGTGTGGAATGATAATGTCTTCTATCTCGCTGCACCTATCCCTATCTCACCAAAATTTCGCTGTTCTCGGTTTTTCGCTGTTCTCGCTCGGGGCGCGGCGCGTTTGCAGAAGGAGTAGAAGTGGGAGAAAAGTCGTTGAGAAAACAGGGAGGTATATATAAACAGGATTCACAGGACATTAGCGCAGGAGCTAACAGCAGAGATCAGTATTTACGACGATAGCACAGTCGCTAGGGGACCCCAACATGATCAACGCCCAATTCACACAGAGTTTTTATTTACCCGCGCATACCACATTCCTCCTTACAACAGAGAGACCACCCCACGCACAAGCAGACCCCAAAGACCACAGGACCGCTGACACCTACACAGGAGCGACACCCAAAGGACACAGATAGTAGACCCGGACCACAGCGCGACCCCATACAAAACATTATCTACACCAGTACACACATTCCTCTTACCCAACATTATCTACCCCAATCACAATCATTATTAGTTACCCCGATTACACAACATGCCTCTTACCCCCAACCTTATCTACCCCAATTCACAATCATTATTTTTACCCCGATTACCACATTCCTCTTACCCCAACATTATCTACCCCAATTCACAATCATTATTTTTACCCCGATTTTTTTGTAGGCACATGAGCAGAAGGAGAGACGACCCAACTATCCTTAATGCTTTGACTAAAGATGGAGTGTGGAATGATAATGTATTCTATCTCACTGCACCTATCCCTATCTCACCCAAATTTCGCTGTTCTCCCTATACAAGGGTAGGTGTCAACGATTTCACATTTTTTGTAGGTACATGAGCAGAAGGAGAGACGACCCCAACTATCGTTAATGCTTTGACTAAAGTTGGAGTGTGGAATGGTAATGTCTTCTATCTCACTGCACCTATCCCTATCTCACCCAAATTTCGCTGTTCTCCCTATACAAGGGTGTCAACGATTTCACATTTTTTGTAGGCACATGAGCAGAAGGAGAGACGACCCAACTATCCTTAAGGCTTTGACTAAAGATGGAGTGTGGAATGATAATGTCTTCTATCTCGCTGCACCTATCCCTATCTCACCCAAATTTCGCTGTTCTCGGTTTTCGCTGTTCTCGGCTCGGTGGGGTTAAAATAATTGATAATGTGGTAATTGGGGTGGATAACCTTATAACATTATATACCCCAATTCACAATTACATTATCTACCATTATCTACCCCAATTCACAATCATTATTTTTACCCCGATTACCACATTCCTCTTACCCCAACATTATCTACCCCAATTCACAATCATTATTTTTACCCCAATTACCACATTCCTTACCCCAACATTATATACCCCAATTCACAATCATTTTTACCCCAATTACCACATTCCCCTTACCCTAACATTATCTACCTCAATTCACAATCATTATTTTTACCCCAATTACCACATTCCTCTTACCCCAATTACTACATTCCTCTTCCCCCAATTACAAACATTCTACCCCTATTCTACCTTACCCCAACATTATCTATCCCAATTACCACATTCCTCTTACCCCAATTACAAGCATTATTTTTACCCCAATTACCACATTCCCCCAATTACCTCATTCCCCTTACCCCAACATTATCTACCCCAATTACCACATTATCAATTATTTTAACCCCAATTACCACATTCCCCTTACCCCAATTACCAATTATTTTACCCCAATTACCACATTCCCCTTACCCCAACATCCAACATTAATCTACCCCAATTACCATATTATCAATTATTTTAACCCACCCAATTCACAATTACATTATCTACCCCAATTCACAATCATTATTTTTACCCCGATTACCACATTCCTCTTACCCCAACATTATCTACCCCAATTCACAATCATTATTTTAACCCCAATTACCACTTTCCCCTTACCCCAACATCCAACATTATCTACCCCAATTACATATTATCAATTATCCCACCCAGTTATCATGATTAATCATAAGATCTACCCCATTGCATCGAGTTCTTATTCTTTTTACCGCATTACCACTTCCTTGTCCTCCAATCATTATCTACACGGTCATATTTCAAATCATTTATTTTCCCGATTAACACATTCCTCTTACCCTGCAGCATTATTTTACCCCCCAATTACCACATTCCCCCAATTACTTCATTCCCCTTACCCCCCAACATTATCTACCCCAATTACCACATTCTCAATTATTTTACCCCAATTACCACATTCCCTTACTATATACCCACATTCGCTGTTCTACCCTCTATTACAAGGGTGTCAACGATTTCACTTTTTTGTAGGACAATGAGGCAGAAGGAGAAAAGAGCGACCCCCCAACTATCCTAAGGCTTGACTAAAGATGGGAGTGTGAATGATAATGTCTTCTATCTCGATGCACACCTATCCCTATCTTCACCCAAATTTCGATGTTCTCATCCCCTTACCCCAACATTATCTACCCAATGTACCACATTACTCATTTATCTAACCCCAATTACACATTCCTGTTACCCCAATTACACAGCAAGTACTTTTAACCCAATACATCATCCCCTTACCCCACATCAACATTATCGACCCCAATACCACATTATCAATTATTTTAACCCCAATTAACCCATCATTTACCCAATTACATCAATATCTACACCAATTAACACAATTCCATGCAACCATACATCCAAAATTATATACAAAATTCACAATCATTATTTTTACCCGATAACACATTCGCTTACCCCACATTATCTACCCCAATTCACAATCATTATTTTACCCCGATTACCACATTCCTCTTACCCAAACATTATATACCCCCATTCACATCATTGTACCTCCAATTACACTATCTGTACACCCAACATTATCTACCCCAATTCACAATCATTATTTTTACCCGATTACCACATTCCTCTTACCCCAATTACAAACATTATTCTACCCCAATTACCACATTCCTCTTACCCCAACATTATCTACCCCAATTCACAATCGACCGAGGCGACCGGACACCAACAGAGCGAGCCAAGGACCACAGGCCGAAGGACCCCAAGGACAAGCAGATAGGGGACCCCAGGACCACAGGGCACCAAGGACCGTCCAACATTATCTACCCCAATTACCATATTATCAATTATTTTAACCCCAAATACCACATTCCCCTTACGCCAACATTATCTACCCCAATTACCACATTCCTCTTACCCCAATTACAAACATTCTACCTTAACCCAATTACAATTATTATTTTTACCCCAAGTATTGATGCCCAATTAACCTTACATTCCTCTTACCCCAATTACTAGGACTCACTGCCCAGTACAACTCTGCTGACACAAACTAGAAATATGAGCACAACAAATTCTCAATCTTGTTAACTTGGCCATTGCAATAGCTTCCTTCACCACTGCTTTTGCCTTCTCCTATATAAGTGTATATACAGTATGAACAACAGTATGATGGTAGGGACGCAAACCTCTTCTTCTTCAGAGAAAATCCGCAGGACTCCGACAGTGAGGTGGAACTTCTCAGGTAGCTGGAACACATCTTCACAAATCCCTCTCTCCTGAGAACACATTTCATATCACAGTCAGTCAGTCGTGAGTTGCTTACTCTTCTGCAGGAGTCCAGTACAGAAGATTTGAACAGCGAGACTCTGTCTCTGATGTGGGGCACAGTGAGAGGGATGCTGATGAAGTGTGTGGGTTTCTCCTTCTCTCTGTTGGTCCATTCATTCCCCTTACCCCAACATTATATACCCCAATTCACAATCATTTTTACCCCAATTACCACATTCCCCTTACCCCAACATTATCTACCCCATTATCTACCCCAATTCACAATCATTATTTTTACCCCAATTACCACATTCCTCTTACCCCAATTACTACATTCCTCTTCCCCCAATTACAAACATTCTACCCCTATTCTACCTTACCCCAACATTATCTATCCCAATTACCACATTCCTCTTACCCCAATTACAAGCATTATTTTTACCCCAATTACCACATTCCCCCAATTACCTCATTCCCCTTACCCCAACATTATCTTACCCCAATTTCCATTCCTCTTACATTACAATTATTTTTACCCCAATTACCACATTCCCCTTACCCCAACATATCTACCCAATTACCACATTACACTATTCATACTATCAATTATAACCCCAAAAACACTTCCCCTTACGCCAACATTATCTACCCCAATTACCACATTCCTTTTACCCCAATTACAAACATTCTACCTTAACCCAATTACAATTATTATTTTTACCCCAAGTATTGATGCCCAATTAACCTTACATTCCTCTTACCCCAATTACTAGGACTCACTGCCCCAGTACAACTCTGCTGACACAAACTAGAAATATGAGCACAACAAATTCTCAATCTTGTTAACTTGGCCATTGCAATAGCTTCCTTCACCACTGCTTTGCCTTCTCCTATATAAGTGTATATACAGTATGAACAACAGTATGATGGTAGGGACGCAAACCTCTTCTTCTTCAGAGAAAATCCGCAGGACTCCGACAGTGAGGTGGAACTTCTCAGGTAGCCAATTATATTTTTACCCCAAGTATTGATGCCAATTAACCTTACATTCCTCTTACACCAATACTAGGACTCACTGCCCAGTACAACTCTGCTGACACAAACTAGAAATATGAGCACAACAAATTCTCAATCTTGTTAACTTGGCCATGCAAATAGCTTCCTCACCACTGCTTTTGCCTTCTCACTATATAAGTGATATACAGTAGAACAACAGTATGATGGTAGGGACGCAAACCTCTTCTCTTCAGAGAAAATCCCGCATGACTCCGACAGTGAGGTGGAACTTCTCAGGTAGCGTTACGGGTGCACACATGATGAGATGCTATTGACAAATAGCCTAATGGTCCATTTTATTATGTGTATATACCCTACTTCAGAAGTGAACCATAAACATGACACAAGATTGTGTGTGTCTTACAAGGTCTTGTCATGGTATGCATCTTGTTATCTCTCTACATCTGGTGAGCAACCAGGTAAAAAGTAAGTGTTTAGGTACAGCTAGATAGTATCGCTATTCCAACCTCCAACTATAGTCAAAGTGTTAGGCATTGTTGGTTTGTCGTTTCGTTTACTCATGTGCGTACAACAAATGCAAAACTGTTCAAACCCTTGTTGTAAAGGGTGGTAAAGAAGGAAATTGAAGAAAAATAAGTGTTTAGGTACAGCTAGATAGTTTTGCTATTCCAACCTCCAACTATAGTCAAACTGTTAGGCATTGTTTGTTTGTCCTTTCGTTTACTCATGTGCATTGTGAGAAGCACATAGGCACTGGATATTTGAAAAACTTTATGGCCTCCTGAGCCAATGAAGGATATTCAGGGCTGCACCTTACTCCAGGAGTGAACCACAAACATGACATGAAATTAAGTCTTACAAGGTCTTGTCACAGTGTCTAGTTGTCTCTCTCCATCTGGTGACCCACCAGGTAACAGCTGCAACCTGGTTAAGAGATGTATGTTACTCACAAACTCAAGGCCTTCTGCTCTATTCCTACACCACCTAATATGGTTTTCGTATGTAGTTCTGGTCAATGACAGCAACAGTAACTCGCGGTCACTCTGTAAGTTCAACACATGTTGTGCAACCGCAGGCTTGTCACTTCACCAACCTCCTTGTGTTGTTTGAGACTGGTCGGTCGCCTGGAATTTGTCAGCATGGGTATATACAGTCTTACAGACTTGATTTTAAGGCACATGGTCTTTATAATGCATCAAGGTGCCTTGGACTGTCAAATTTTGCCATTGACTATAACCCTTCCTATATTTTGATATGTTTGATGTATGTATAGAACTGCCTGTTGTCTTTAGGTAGCTGGTGTTTCGTTTCCCCTCGTGTTAACCAGAATGTTTCACACATTCAGTTAGGATCTCTTGTTCATAGGCAGTAGTACGTACCTCTCTATTCAGTAGATATTTACGTATATATATCCAGAACAGCAGTGTTCTAAAGTGTTCAGCAATGAGTTTTTCAGGTGTCCAACACCAATTATTTCATTCAGCACCATGTTGTATCATGGGCCTAATTCCTTGACCCCAGAACTATTCCACTGGCTCTAATAAAATTTCAGTTGGTATGAATAATTTTTGTAAATTCTGGCTTACGAATTTTCACCGCTGTACATGAGGTAATTTTCTGTACTTTTTTTCTCTTGCAGGCATGGTTGGAAGCCCCTCTGCTCAAGCTGTAGCTGTTGATTCAGCTACATAGACACTGGATATCCATGAGTTAATCGTGG